AAATCATGCTTACCTCTCAACAGTGACAAACGACAGAACGTACATACAAAGATATTTTACATAACGATTCATCACAGAAATGTGGAATTGACGAAGAATCGTTTGTATTCCTATAGCAAATACCACAGCGTCAACGGGATCCTGATATTTCTTGCTTAATAGACTTGCTACAATAAATCAAATGTTTGTTATGTAACTCATTTTATTACAGAATATATAATAATATGTATATATATATTACAATATAATTATACCTGTATTTTTACAGTAGGATAGTTTATTTAATTGCGATACTGTAAATAGGAAAATAGTAATAGCTATATTATTCATCTTTGGTGGCTTGATATAAACTTTGTTATGCGGATCACTGATGCCAGCCCAGTCCAATCGCATGCTAAGTTCATGAAGTAATTCGCTTTTCTTCGGTTCGGTCTCATTACTACTATTATCTTTTTTCGCTATCTCGCATAAAACGGCCCTTTGAAAGAATTAGAAAAGAATTTTAAAAAATCAGAAAAAATTGTAAATTAATTTCTACGTACGTATTTAATGTTCGAAGCGCTGCTTCCATATGCTTCGCTTCAAATTTACACGCAGTGTTTAGTTCATACGCTATTTTTTTCCTCAATAATTGGTAGTGACCTATTTTCAACGTCCACTCAAGCGCTGATGACCATAATTTGCTGCTACTAGCGCTTATAGAATTGTGAAGTTTCGTAATGTTACCTAAGACACATACACGATACTTTGTGTAAATACATGTTGATTATCCTTATTTTCATTATATGTACTTTTCTAATGTGAATTCTTACTTTTAGCACTATCTAAAGAATTTAAAGTGGCCTCACAATCTTCTAACAACCAGAACAGCCATGTTTTGTTCCGTATATTCTTTTCTATATAGTGAACTATAGCTTCCAGTTCTATAACAATGAAGAAGGAAATAAGCTTGTCCAATCCCGATAATCCTGGCGTGCCTATCGTTTCTAATATCATCGAGAAAACCTTGTAATTTAAGACCTCATTCTGCGTTTTAATGTCATACCATGCTAGAGAATGTTCTATGTACACGATAGTTCTGAAAGGACATAAACAGATTAGAGATACAGTACAATTTTTTTATAAGAGAAAAATCAAAATATGAATAACGCGTAATACCGCGGATCGGTAATACGGATAAGCTCTCTGGCAAGTCTACCCATGAACGTTAAAGAGTTATTATCCGTTGAAAAAGCGTGTTTATCTTCTTGGAACTGTCTCCACGATTTTCCTGGTACCCAAGAAGAGCCCTTACGTTCTTCTTCGACCGCATTGTTTATAATATATGTGATCTGAGGATGTGCATATTTAGAATAGAATTTAGAGCATGTGAAAACATTTTTGTGTAATTTGTATCAAAGATCATGTAATCATATAATTCTCTCACTTCTTCATGCCATATCTTCAAACTGTTTATGTTAATATAATCCTGAATGTATTGGAAAGATTTCCTGTATCCGTCCATAATTGATGATAAATGATTCAGTTTTTGTAGAAATGATGTCTACGAAAATGTTTGCAACAATTATTAGGTATATAATTTTAGAATTAAAAATTTTTTTAATCTTACCTTAGACTTTTGATCAAAATTGAGGCCATTCTGTAAAGCTAAAGTAACTTTTTTGACAAGCTCCTGACGTATACCATCTTCTAAGAGACGATGTGAATCAACTCTTAAAACTCCTAAAGAAACACTTCTTAATGATAGAACACCTTTTGTGAAAACTGATACAGCATATGTTAATTTTGCCATCTACAAACATAATATAATAATATAACAATATTATTTTCTTTTAAATAAACACAACTTAATGAAAATCATTTGTAAAAGTGTACCTGTAATCTTTCAGTCAGTTGTGCATAATCTTTGAGTTTATCTTTGGGTAATTTAGTCGGGATCTCTTTAAACGAATTCGTTTCAAGATGCACTATCTCTGCCAACAAACCGAACACAGTTTCAGGTATAATTTGCAAAACCCGCCTAGCATATCCCTCTAGTTCTCTGCTATAATACTGAGACACCGAGGACAAATCCGCACTCCGTGCTTGGTTTACCCTCAGTAATGGAGTTTCCAATGCTGACGCCATCTAAAAATAATATAATGTATAAAATATGTAATGTATGTGTACATTATATGATTTTAATTGCTCTCATATTTACTTTAAGAAAAAGTGCTTTTAGTTTGATAACGGTTGGGGGATTTCCCTTTATGCTTTCCTGCATTACATCGATAAAAGACTCCATAATATTCCATGCATAACAACAATCGGTCACGATGTTTAAACTTATCATGATGTCTTCAGATATGCTGCCTGTACGCAACATATTGTGTAGAGTCTCACGTGTGTCAGCGAGATATTGTGAAATATGTAGATTATTTTCTAATTGATGAAATTCTGGGAAAAAAACATAAGATATAGTATAATACAAGCGTTTATATAGATTTATTTTAAACAGAATAAATAGTCTACTTGATTCGTGTTTCTTTACCCTGAACTTGTTCCAACGCTTGCAGTAATTGCACTATCTTTCGCCCATCTTCTTGCTTTAACGAATCAATGTGTTTACTTATTTCTATAAACCATGCATAAAGATTTTGATTTTTATCAATACCATCTAGAGGTTTGGCGCCTCCAAAAATTTGTGCAAGATCAGTTATACGTTCGACGCATATCCCTTTATCCTTCAACCATTTGGCTTCTTTTCCAAGCAAGAGCTAATATAAAAAAGGTTAATCACAGTACAAATACAGATATCGCAATAAAAGAGAATGATCTTAAACATACATCTTTATACATCTGTTTAACATCCTGTTCAATTTGAGCAGTGCTTAGTAATAAACGGAGACATTTCACTGTGGTATATTTGCTTTCCATTACGACCAACTGTCGTAGAGTACGCAAACGTTTTGAATCCTCTAATGTTATAGTGGGCGTAGTGGTGTGCAGAAGAATCCAATGCAACGTAACATTGCATTCTCTCACTAATTTGACTAAAGAACCTGTCGCATTTTCATCCAATGTACCTGCCAACTGTACCTCGTCGGTTTCTTGCGTTAATTTCTGGAATATTTTCTTTATATAAAACTGTAATTTTGCATAAAGACTTCATAAAAAATTCTTAGACGTACATTCATTTTTGCTCCATATTTTTGGGCAATCCCTTTCACATTAGAATTCTCGAGTGTATTATTCAACGCTGTTCGCGCAGCTTTATACGGTGACCACCAATCACATAGATTAATCACTGTTCCCATATAAATACTAATTACCCAATTGTCAGGAAAGAACCTGTCTACTATTTCCCTCATAATGGCAGTTTGTGTATGTAGTACAGTTGGTTTAAATGACAAAATTATAACTAACATTGATGCTTGTGTGGCCACGGCAGTACTGCGATGCTCCGGATGCGGGAAAGCGAGAGTTTGATTATAAATCTCATCTGAACGCAATCGACCAATAACCAGATCTACCAAAAAATCTCGCAGAGGTACTCTCCTAAAAAATATTAATTTTTTCTAATATTCTGTTATAATCTCTGAAGATTTTAGAGTATCTCAAAATTAATTATATTATTTTTTTCTTTTATGTGGTCAATTATATTACATACTTGAAATATTCTTCAGGATAATTAGCTGGTCTTTTAGACAGTGTTCTCACATATCCTGTTGAACGGAGCAACATGCAAACATCATCTACTCTTGTCGAGGAAGAACGTTGAGCATTATATCGATAATATGACACAAGTAATCTTTCACGTATTCGTCCTTCTAAATAATAATCAACCAGCAACAACATGACACCATATAAGTATACAGCTTCACACTACATGAAAATTTAATTATATTAATTTGTCTGTATACTCAACATTGTTTCTCTGTTGATCAAATAGATAAGTGTATGTTTAAAAAAAAAGATAAATGTACCATTAATTGTTTTCCTTCCTCATTGAACATAATAGAATCCACTGACTGATGTATATAAACTCCATCTCCTAATTCATCGATGTAAAAATTCAAGTCTGTGACATACTTGTGTATACTTTCAAAGGTCAAATAAAATCTTGTAAGTATGTCTGAAAAATTATTCCGGAGCTCCTCATCAGTTTCTTGGAGTACCTAAAAAAAATACAGATGAAATTTAGGAATGTGTTGGCCTATAATACTCTCATTAAATTTGCAAGAAAATGTTAGTATTTACCGAATCATCCTCTATTTTTTGCTCATAAACACTGGCTGCCTTAAAGTATGCAAAGTCGATTATAATTGATCCATACTTCTGTATCAGTTGCTTCGAATCCAAGCTATAGGAAAAACAATCAAATGCAATATTTACATAATGTTATAACATATAATAATAAAATTTGTACTTGAATAAACTTTTACATATATAAGTTTACATTTATCTAACAAATTTATCTAATTATTTACATACTACAATTACATCAAAACGACTTTGTAATATATTACAATTGGCTGTAATATAACGCAAATATTTACCCTGTTATTTATTCAATTAACAAGATATGTATATATATATTTTTTTTAATAAACTGACCTAAAGACCGGTGGTACATAATCCTTTAATCGCATTAGTTCAGCTATAATAGCATTCCCACGAGATACCAGCCGCAGCAAGTTCTGCCCGCAAACATTATTGGCCGCTAAAAAGTCGCTCATTTTTTTTTCAGATGATTTTAACGATCATCTCAAAACGGACGATTACTCCTTAGACTTTTGACAGAAGTCGTCTTCTCCAATTTTATTTGGCTTCCGGCCCCGATTTTGACAGAAGTATTCTGTATTTGACATCTGATACTCCCCTCTCTTCCTGCAAGAATCCGTCGTTTATCATCAGTCGCTCGTTTGGTTTTCCACTTCTTGTTTCAGCCGCAATATGTCTAGAGGACGCGCGACAAGTTCTTAATTGTGGACATCTCTTTGTATATATGTGCGATTCTACAAATCTACAATTTTCACTGATTTTCACTTGATAGCATTTTGCTTTAAAATTTTTGAAAGTAAGGCCAACTTTAACAGTGAGCTTTGAGCATTGAAAGAATCGTATTGATCTCAAAAGAAGTTTTTCCAGGGAGGAAAAAGAAGATAGCGTCTTGTTACATCTTGCTTGATTTTATTCAACGTGCCGTGACTGGGAAAAGAATACAGATCAATCAATACTCTGGATTTACATTTATACGGGAGAGCCACATTTTTGTAGAATGCAAAATCGCCGCAAAACGTTTGGCTCGTCACGTATCTTTATTCCCACGGCGCCCTGATGATCGAATGTGACGGCAAGCTTCTCCGATTCGGAATGTCGTTGTGAACAAAGCTTGTCCATAAGGTTTCACAAAATAGATTCAAGACCCCGAAGACTGATGCCACACACTCGCTGATTGCCGAGATCTCTCGATGTTGATTTGATCGACTCAACAACGTCTCTTCCACATTTAAAATGGAGGTAAGAACTCGTTATACCAGTATTTTATTGTAAACTTTAATCTCAGTTTAATTTATTCATCTTTTTCTAATTCTTAGAACTAGAAAAAGATGAAGAGTCAATTGAACCGAGATTAAAACTAATCTTACACTGGTGGAATCAAACTAAAAAAGAACATATCTGTGCCTGTTTCTATCAATGTAATTTAATTTTAATTAATCGATTATCTAGAATAATTTTTATAGATAAATTTGATTGTAATATAATTTATTCTGTTTGCAGTCAAATGGTAAAGTTCCTTTGCCATTAGAACCTATAAAAGCAAATCAGGTTGAAGACAGACGCCTATGGGTGGGCAATTTAGATTTAAGAATTAATGAGTAAGTATTTATATTATACTTCTTTTATAAAGATTTTTTTAATGTTTTCTTGAGAAACATGATATATGAAGTGTTTTGCACTAGAACAGTGATGCACAATCTTTTTTTAAAAGTCATTTTCAAAGAATTATTTTTAGAAATAGGTAAAATCTTCTAGATCCTATAATGTTAATTTTGTTTGAATATTTATAAAATAAAAATATGATTTTATATATTTTTGATTATAAGCTACTGGACTACAGGTTGCGCATCACTGTGCTAGAACATTAAAATTAGACAAAAAAAACTAATGCTCTTTTTGTCAACCGGTACCAACTCCTGAAACTTGTCCAAAAATACGGCACAATCGAAAAGTTCGACCTGCTGTTTCATCGATCAGGACCTCAAGCTGGTCAACCAAGAGGATATGCATTTGTTACTTACAAAACAATTCAAGATGCCGTAAGGGCGAAAGATGCTTTACATAACTTAAAAGTCGGAGCTAAGAATATTATCGTCAGATGGGCACACAATGTCACCGAGGTACAATATGTTCATGTCTGTTATAACAAATCTTAAATTAAAATTCAATTTATAATATGACACATACAATATTTTGTGAAATGCATAACTTTATAATTAACATTTAATTTTTTAAATGATTTTATAAAAACTTACAAAAAATAATTATTGTTTAGTTGGACATGGATAAACCAAAACCAAAAATTGATATTCCTGCCTTGGCTGGTGCAAAGAAAGAAGATAAAAAGATTAGGTATAATTTTGTACTTTTATCAAATAACAGCTGGGAATAAGCAATATTTTAATTAAAATCCACAATTTTTTGACAGTCGTGAAACAGCAATTCAAGCGATTGAAGCAAAACTTAAGTTGATGAAAGAATCGGAAGAGGAGTTTGAGTTGAATAAACCATTGGAAGGATCGCCAATTATACACCTCTATCAAAAAGCGGAAAATCAAAAACCGTCCACCTCTACACGTTATCATAGTCGTGGAAGCCACTACCATCACAACAAGCCATACAGCCGTCACAAGTCAAGAAGATAATTCATGTACATTTCATCTGTATTTTTATCCTATTCATCACTATCATTATCACATTAGTTTCATGATATTTATATTATTTATGATGCAATGTCTACTTATTTAATACTGTTTATTAAAATTTTGTGTGTATAAAGAAATTTTATATGTATTTTCGTATTGTAAAACTATGTATTCACCAAGAGGACATAGAGCAACATTTATGTTTCTATTTATCTGTAAAAGTTCCAATATATATTTCTCTCGATGTTCCTCATTGTCACCAAGAATACAAGAAACATTAGAGCTACGACTGTTTGAAATCGTCCGCGATGTAACGCTCTCAATATGTACGTCAATGTACGTGTATTTTCGTAATATATGGAAATCTTTTTTATAGTAAACGTGATATGCTTTGGAATAAGATGTAAAGTGTACATGTTACTTCCATTGTTCATACTTTTGGATATAGACAAGGATATACATTCATACGTATATGTGTATGTAATACAATTATAATACAAAGTATAATAAGAATTTTTAATAACAGTTTGTCTAGTCTTGATTCAGTAATTTTTCCACTATTTTCTTTCCACGCATGTAATTCGGCAACGGTACTATACCGGGACATGGCACTTGTCCTGGGATATGACATATACAACTCCTGTCGCAACCAACTCCGAAATTTGCTGGATTATCCTTCTTTTCTTGAGCTACAGTTTCCTTTTTTATTATGTCCAACGGTTTTCCCACTACTCTCACGAGATGATCAAGTATCTCGTCCTTTGATTTGCTGTCTGCGTCTATTAGCATCGTCTTACCATCTTCTGTAAAATACAGAAATTTGTGCATTAATTTCCAGAATTGGCAAAAAAACATGTTTTAAACAGTTTAAAATATTCTTAATCCATGTTTTCTTTTTAATATGTTTTAAATATTTTTTTAAGATATTGTAGCGTATTTGAAGCATTAAAAACATATTTGAAAAGAAACAATATTTTACTACACAATAATTAAGAAATAAGAATCTTAAATGATTAAGCTAGATCTGATGTTGAAATAATTCTATGTAAATTTATATACTATATATACAATATATGTAGTCTTTTTAAACCGCGCGCCGAAATTATTTTTGGTCTTGAAACACAATCCGATTAAACTGTGTAGTAATATTACAAATTAAATTGAAAAGCAATTTAATAATTTGATGCTCAATCTGGCATCCTATTAAAGAGATGTTAAAAAAAACTAAATAATTTTATTGCCAAAAATATTACCTCAGCCAAGAGTCGAATCCGGATCACTTGCATTCCATGCGAGCGTCCTAAGCCTTTAACTACCGAGGCTTTAGTAATATTCTTCGCAATAACTCATATATTAGAAGGACACATGTTATAAATAAGACCGTTATGTGACAATAATTAGGAAATAAGAGCAAATAAAATGTTTTATTCTTTACAAACAAACATTAGTCTTTGGTAATTCGAATAATTTCACAGTAGACTAAATTAAAAATGAATAATTAAAAAAAATGTAAATGTCTGCTATGAATTTAATCAGCAAAGCCAACAAAAATATAACAAACTTTGCTAATAAAATCTAATAATAGATGGATTATAAAAATGAAATAAATTTATCAATTTGTAACATTTAGTTTTTGCACTCAACTGTATAATCACTCAAATAGTTATGAGTGACTTTGCCTAGATTCGATTGACAATTTGTTCATAGATCACACACATTTACGGACTTTACTGGCAAAACAAAAAGCATAAAATACACAAAGATAAAATTTTTTTCTCATTTCTATATAAATTGGAACACTTTTAGCAATACTAAGAAAGTCCACAGCTTTCATTAAATTATATGTATATATGAATTTTGAAACACAAAATATTTTATTATAAAAAAGACTTTTTGACACTTTTGAAAAATGTTTTAATTTGAATTTTAAAAAATTTAAGAAATATTCTAAACAGTTATAAAATTATTCAAAAATTCTGAAACATAAAAATTTTGAAAAATCACATGAAAAATTCTGAGAAACATTTTCATACCAAATAATGTCAATCTGTCACAATATTTTGTTCAAATTTACTGATAAAATGCATATTATTAAGCTCACTAGATTTCGCCGCCTAATTTCACATTAAATAAGTCTTGTTTGAAATTATAATTGAGTTGTAATTTTACCGTAGTAACATTTTATGAATGGCGATGGGGTAATGTTCCTAAAGGTAATTATTTGCACGTTTGGATTTTTATATTGTAGTTGCGGTAGATGCCAAAACACGAAGTCTCTGTGAGAAAAATAAACAGAAAAACGGTTCATTAAAATACAAACTGCAGATGAGCAAATGTTACAAACATAACCCTTACATACCTAGTGCCTTTGTGATGTCCGCCATGTGTGTTGTAATTGAAGGACATTATTTGTATCTTATCCTTCAAAATTAATTTGCCAGCCATTAAATATTTCACTGTTCGCCGCACAGGCTCCTTGCCTCTCATAAACGGCATCTTGCCGATATCTGTTTTCAATCTGTCTGTGGTAATCTGCGCCTCTGCGGTCGGCGGCGGGCGGCCGCAACCGGCACAGTAGCACACACACAAACCAAGCTCGTGTACATACATGTGACTTTGCTAGCAGCCGAGCAGAACGTACCGATAGATAAAAAAATTTACTTTTTGCAAAACGGTTGCTATAAAAATGCTTTTCTTTTATAGTTTTTGGCATAAAAAGGCACAAATTGGAAAAAGAGAAGTCCCGTTTTCAAATGTCTGTAAATGTCGATCGGTCAATGTTTATATATAATATATATGTGTTATAATATATATGTTTATATATAATATACAGGGTGGCTGAGAATAACCGCATAATATTTCATGGGTGTGTAGAACATACTATACTGAGTCGAAAAGTCCTGTATCATTTTACGATTGCAGTAATAGTTAACGAGATATTAATTTATAAAAATATTTAAATTCGCCCGGCCCACCGTCAAATGCAAGCGCGTGGCTGGATAGGACCGCCCAGCGAA